GTTCAAGGGGAAATGGTTTGGAAAATCGGTTTGGGATTTTGAAAGTCGAGATACAACGAGACGGATTTTTTGGCCGGGTTCCAAGCAAAGGTGGGCTCGCCTAACTATCCCGAAGGGGTTTAGTCCATAATTCCTTATCGCTTCTTATCAGTTGAGAGCAAACTCTTGGCGGCTGGCCCGTGCTTTTTTCTCCCAAGCACCGCATCCGTCATTTCACCTGCTGACGAAGCTCGGGCCTTGGCCCCAAGCCCCAAGAAATGTCATCAGCTTGATCATCGCCTCGTTGCCCATTCGGCAGCAAACCAAACCATCCGGAAACCCGGGAAGTTGTCAATCAACCACCAGTCGCATTAGCGCAACTGCAATGTCCAGAACCACATTCCTCTGACTGCTGCTGTCTTGACCCCTTCTACATTCATTCACTCTTTTTGTTTCTTTTTCCTTTTGCTTTCCGACGCTATCACCACCCCTCCATAACTATCCCATCACGTCAGTGCTTTACGCCGCATCTCGAGATCTCCCCGAAGTGAAACGAACCGAGGCCTCCGCCGCAAGACTACATCCACCAGATCTCCGGCCGCAAACGCAACCTCTTTTTGCCCCGACGACATCTCATAAACAAAACACACTCGCCAGGAGGTCGATTTACACGTTTTCTCTCAACCTTTCCCAAGGCGGCGCACATCAACTTCCATCACGATATACCGCAGCCATGACCTACCTCTTCTACTCAACCCTCACCCTCCTAACCTTCATCCTCACCACCCTCGCCTACCTCTTCCGCGCAACCTGGCTCCCCCACCTCTCCCAATCCCGCACAGCCTCGTACCTCTACTCCCGCCTCCCGGGGAACTCGTCCTTTGAAGCCGACATGGAAGCCGGTCTCTCGTCGTCGAATTTCGATTTAAACACCAACCTGGCAGCGGGCGATTCCAGGTCGGGGCTGGATGAGGGCGCGAAGAGGGAGATCTTGCAGATCATGAAGAAGAGGAGATTGAAGTTTGACGAGGCGAGAAGGGTGTACATGGAGCAGAGGTTTGCGGCGAATGGGATTGGGGCGGATGGGAGGCCGAGGGATCCAAAGTTTGTTAGTTTCTCGTGAGGGGGGAAATGCAAATCCGAGAGTCTGTTGGGGGGGGGGGGTTGTTTGGTCTGGTTAAGGTTTTTCCTGTTCGCTGCTGCTGTTTGGAAAACAGAGCATATATCATGGGTTTGGCTTCATAAATCTATCGTTAATTACTTTTCCTTCTTTTTCTTTATCTTGATTTTTTTTATTGTTTTTTATTTATTTACATATTCCCCTGCTTTTTACTATTTTTGTTGATTTTTTCATGTTTTGGAGCGGGATAATCTGCGAAGGCGTTTACATGGGACGGGTTTCCTTGGCCGGACGGATTGCACATGATGTGGCGAGAAAGGGGGGGGCGGGAAGGGGGGTAAGAAGGAAGGAGGGACATTTGATACCACTGGGGAGGAGGGAGTTTGAAGGTTTTTACATACGCAGGCGAAAAATAAAGAGATGTATCCCGCTCGATCAGGTTTCAGTGTTGTTTTCAGGGTGAAGAAGCCTGATGACTGGATGTCTTTTGGAGATATACCAAAATGTCTTCAAAGAGCTATCCCATTTTTCCAGTGCTTCTCGAGAGCTTCTTGCCTTTTATATAGGCCTCAACAAAAGATGGGAAATGTGCTTGAAGGAACAGTCATTAAAACTAGAAGCATGGTTCTTAATAAAACTCGGAATATAGTTGCTAATCTGTGCAATTTCAGGTTGACCAGGCGATCGTTGATACTTACTATAGCAGATATTGAAGACCATATCCCAATCTTGACATGTCACGGCCAGACCCTTATATCCAGACATAGTGTTATGCTTCAAAATGGACACATCCATTCATCATTACTAATTAAAAGCGAGGCCTCCTCTACCATTACTCTCCAACCACAAGCTTG